TAATCAAATAAAAGGTGTGGCAGATAGTATTAGCTATGTCATGAATTTTACCTGCCAACCCTGACGTTATGACATTATTCTACGTTCAGACCTGTTCAGACTATAGTTGATATCAATAACAGAACGTCAATGTCAGCTATAGTCTGAATGTACACTCCCGAGCATAAGTTTAAGGACACCCCAAAAAAAACATGGTAATTTTTTATGTTCATATCTCTGTCATGTTACGTCCAATTTTCGTTCTCTTTAGATCATTTGAAAGGTATTGAATGGAACTTTCCTCGCAGGCAAATTGTTGAATATAATTTTCAAATTTTGTGTGCTTCACTCAAAGTTACATTATTTTTCAAAACTTACTCTCAAGAATCGTGACTGATTTTCTCAGAATTGGGTTGGCCATATTTTGAAATAAAAGTAGTAGTAGAACACTTAGGGATCGTCCATTAATTATGTCACACTTTTGGGGGGGAGGAAGGTTTTGGAAACTGTGACGAGCCTTACAAAAATCAATTAAGGTCCATATAAAAAATGTGGCAAATTACTCAAAATGTAGTTTTTTTTTTTCATTAAATTAATTTTACCAAGCCCTACGGACGCCGCGTGTTGAGTGAAAGTGAACTTAATTTTGGATAATTTTTTCTTACTGTGCAGATTTGAGTTCACCAGATCTTTATTCAGCAACATGTGAAAAGGCATACAAGCCGAACGTAAACAATGCTTTGAAACGTAGATGGTTCAAGAATTAAAACACACCAACTCAAACTAATTATATCATGTGATAGAGCCGAGGGTAGAGACGATGCGAGTAGATGGATTATGATGCAAGAGATGAAAACATATGTTTCGTGGATTGATTTGCTAGAGATTTTTCGACCATCATGAAGTATCACACCGCTTGGATAGAGCAAATTATCTCTCAGATGCTGGTTTCGGTTTGCCAGAATGAGTAGGGTTACCATATCAAAAACCTTGAAAAGGAGGACATTTCGTTTTAGGTTTGGAGATTCTTTTCTTAACATTAAAGGAGGACAATGAGTTTTTATCAATTAAGATTGTTCATTACTTGAAGTCGTTATCAATTCAATTCATCTTCTCGTTATTCTTCTGAAAAATGCATCAAACTTAATAATTCAGTTTTTAACTACACGCAAACCAAAAGTTTATTAGAATGTATGTTAGTTCCATTTCCTATCATCCTCTGTTCATGAACATCGCAGGGAATGTTAGATGCTGACCAATGATTTTTAATCTTTTTTTATTCATTGTTCTGAATATGCACCTGCACAAGCAGGCATTTGCCTTGATTTTTATGTATAACATGGTACAACGACGCACACACTTGTCTCGATTCTCTCCAGTAGAAAATATCAAACGAAGTCGAGTATGCGAGGAAATGAACGCTTCTTGTTTGCTTTTAGCCTTTCCATATCCAGAAGCATAGAGAGAGCAGTGGAGAAAGCACAGGTCTGTTAATCGCAAAGTTCGTGGTTCGAGTGACCCCCCCCCCCCAATCGGCACTTTTTTCGATATGATTAAATTTCACTAAAATTTTCTGATGATGAATTCCACATAATTGTAAGCGAATCTTATTTATAGTACGTTCAGACTACAGAGCTATAACATGTTATAGCGCTATCTTGATGGTGGTTTCTGTGTTGCAATTATTTGACAACTGTTATAACATGTTATAACTCTCCAGTCTGAACAAGGCATTACATTCCCCGGTTGGGTGTAGACAATGATCTAGTCTAGCGGTTTTGCATGAAAAATTCAGCTTTACAGCCTTAAAACCATCCCTTCTTTTATCATGAACAAAAATTAAGATACATGCCATCGCTGATTGAAACCAACATGAAAAGGAACATCTAAGCAATCTGTTAATTTTACCATTGATTCAGCACTCTAAACCAATACCTACACACCAAAAATCTGAATCGAGTTCCAGGAAAATGGATTGCTGAACTTATTCTAGCAAAACCACTTTATACTGAATAATCAGCATGCCAGAAAATGTTGCTGGATGTTCAGCTAACAATATGATCTGTCAACACAAATTTTTGTTTTGAGATTCACATTCCCGCGTTTTTTGTTTTTTTGAATGTGCGCTTTTTTACAAATTCATCGTGCGATTACTAGCCAAATTGACCAGGAAGATAGCCGAAGTAAGAGATTCGAATTTATCATTTGATTAATTAAGCAATATTTCCATATAATTTTAGCACTCTTCGCAAGGTGTTGTCAGTAGTAAATACAAGATCGCATGGCGCTGCGGCGAATAATTTTCACCGTATCAATTGCTTATTATCTACTTGGATTTATTTAAATAAGGATGATTCAATACAGTGAATTGCATTAATTTATGCCCTTTACGAAAGCGAAAACAAATGATACTGATACTCCAGCAAACGTAGCAAACAACAATATTACTGAACATCCAGCAAAGTACTGTCGAAAGACATTTGCTGCAGCATCGGATTTACTGAAGATTCCGTCAAATGTTTTCATTTTGACAGAAGTTCGAATAGCTGAATGCTTCCGTAGCTTTATTTTGCTGGGAAGTTTGCTGATCTTTCATCAAATCTAAAATCAGCTAAATTTTGCTGATTTTCAGCGATTTAAATTTGGTGTGTAACATCCCATAGAACCAGAGCGTCAAAATCGAACACACGTTGAATTGCTGTGTTCCATTTGGTAAGTTTTCGCTAACATTTTAAAGATGAGAAATTTTGCAATAACCCTGGTAGTTCATAAGACTCATTTTTGACAGAAAAACAATCCATTTTAACAAACACCTTCTCGAAAATCGGTCAACCAACACGAGAGGGGTTCTCGAACATTATAATATTGGAACACAGTCAAAGGCTCTAACACCACTATCAGGTAGAGGAAATTTTCCCCTATTTAATGGTAGTGTTAGTATGTGTTAGCGAGCTACCAGTTTCGTCAAATCGACGATCAAATGCATTGTTTACAAAAGCTGATACGTCCCTTCGAAAAAATAATCGAGATTTCATTCATACATTACAGTATGGAAAGTAAAGTATGCACCGCTTTGCTCGATTGGAACAGCTTTTTTTTTCAGTTTTGTGCTGATAGTCGTCCATACTTTATCTAGAGGACTTTAGATAGGAGATGCATGAACCGCAGATTGCATAATTTTGAGCAACGCTCTGTAAAATATTTGTTACAATATTATCTTCGATTTCACTCTGTGTTGCCAAAAATTGATTATTCAAATATTTCGTTTGAATACCGATACTACCGAAACTATCAAAAAAGTATTCGCTCAAATTAAAATTCACTCGAAGTTGACAACATTATGGGTTGCCAAACCTGGCAGAAAAAATAACTTAGGGGCTGTTCATAAACTACGCAAATTTCTGCGAGATAAAGCGCACATAAAATTAACGCTAGATGTGGCATAAATTTATGCGATATTTCGTGTAAATTTAAGCGCAATATTGCATAAATAAGCAATATTGTAAACGATTTTGCTGTTTATGCCACGTATAACTCAGATTTTTTTCTGTGTAACACTACCATCACTATCTGCTAGTGGTGTTTGTATGCGTGGATGAGCTACCAGCTACGCCAACCGACGATCAAAAATTTTTTTTTAAAGTAATCGAGAAGTCCCTTTTTTGAAGTCTTTCTCCAAATTCACTTGTGATTAAAAACTTGAGAGTCGATCAGCGACTGCGTAAATTTTTTAAAATATTTGCTTTATAGCAATGATGCCATAAACAATTAATCTCAAAAGATTTTACTTGTGTTTTATTTGTATTCCAAAAGTCAAATAGTAACCAATTGCACTTTTCATTCGCAACCATTATGAAATTGTTTAACGACGTGCTTCGGGTATCATTCAAACCATTTAAGAAAAGTTCAATAATTTAGGTTATCATTCGTTTATGGTATTTTTTTGAAACTTAATTACGCAATACTTAATTATATTTTTAAGGAAACATAATTATAATTAAATGTCAACCGCAATCTCAACACTCCTCACGCTTTTCCTCATGAAGCGCTCGTGTTTATTAACATTGCTCGATTGGAACCGTGTTTGACGGTTCGATTGGAACTTTTGGCTTCAATCTTCGCGCGTCTCTTATTTAACATCGTCTTTAGTTAATTTATAATATTTACCTCCAGGGTTATCAAGCTTCTAAAATTCACAACACTCCACGACAAAATATGATTAAATTTTCACTTGGTGTTCGCATCACGAAAATAGCATCGTCACGTCACCTAGGTGTGAATATTTGCGGCATGTTAGCACCAACCATCTCGTTCATCGACAATGGCTTTCTTCGGGATTTTGCGATTCAACTCTTCCGGCGAACCAAACAGAAGACGACCTGTTATAAAAGCCGAACCAAGATTGTTTCGATGATCAGTAAAAGTGACATCACGACGCCCATCATCATCATTGTCATCAAGTGTACCCGCTAGTGAACCAGTAGAGAAGTCATAAAAATTGAATTTGAATTATTTGTAGTAATTAGAAATAAAATTAGTAGTTATATTTGAAGTTAGTGAAGTGATAAATAAATGAACTAAGATTATCGTAAGATACTTACTTGTGCTGTGAGCCCCCGCGAAGTCTAAAAAGAGAACAAAAACCTCAAGAAACTTACCTGCCATAGTGCATATGTCCCCGTTGTGCTACTGTGTTGTGGTGAATAAAGATTGAGCACAGAAACGAGTTTGTAAAACTGAGTGATTCGAACATATGGTCCTTTGCACCGGATTACGACCGTCAAACTCCGTCCGTTCCGGTAACTGTCCATTGTGAGACAACCGCCATCGCTACTACAAGCCACCTAGCGCACGGTCCGCCATCATAGTCCGTGGAACAATCGCGAAGTAGCTTTGGAATCCGCCATCACTTTCGCTAATTGAATAGCTATACAAGGCACATTTTGCCTTTTCAAAGGTAATTAGATTTCCTATTTCCTCTACTCTTTCTCGTGTGATCTGCGCGGTCTTTCGCTTTACAGACCACTGTCGCCGTTCATCATGTCAACGGAACGTCGCATCAAGGGATTGAAGACCAAGCTGAAGAGCCTAACCGTCTCATTCAACCTGATCAAGACGTTCGTTAACAATTACCAGGAAGAAAGGGATGCCTTCGAGATACCAGTACGCCTTGAGAACCTCGACAAGGTGTGGACCGACTTTCAGAGCACTCAATCAGAGCTTGAATCCGTCGATGAGACGATCGACGAGCAGCTTAAAGAACGGGTCGACTTTGAAACTGCCTACTACCGGGTGAAAGGTCTTCTGCTATCCAAAAATAAATCTCCGCTATCGACGTCCATGACTACGTCTTCTTCTTCAAGCTCACAAGTCCATGGTTCATCGTCGCATGTACGCTTACCCGACTTAAAACTTCCTACGTTTAGTGGAAACATCGACACCTGGTTGAATTTCCATGATCTGTATGTCTCTCTGGTTCACTCTTCTGTCAAATTATCTAACATCCAGAAGTTTTACTACCTTCGTTCCTCTCTGGCTGGAGAGGCCTTAAAACTGGTTCAAACGATTACCATCAGTGCCAATAACTACCACGTGGCCTGGAATCTGCTGGTTGAGCATTATCAAAACCCTTCGCGTCTGAAACAATCGTACCTCGACGCTCTTTTCGAAGTCGGTACCCTGAAACGCGAATCTGCGGCCGATTTACATCTGCTGGTAGAGAACTTCGAAGCCAATGTGAAGGTGTTGAAGCAGCTCGGTGAGATAACCGAGTTTTGGGACTCCATTCTGATCCGTATGCTCAGCGTCCGCCTAGATCCCACAACTCGAAGGGACTGGGAGGAATTATCTTCAACTAAACCAGACGTGACGTTCAAGGATCTGACCTCCTTTATCCAGCGAAGAGTGACTGTTCTGCAAACGATCCAGGGAAAAGCTGTCGATACTCCAGCATCCACTCAACAGATGAAAAGATCCAGTCAACGTGTCGTTGCTAGTCATGGGGCCAGTCAAGTTCAAGCTGGTCGGAAATGCGTCGTGTGTTCTGATCATCACCCACTCTATATGTGCCAGCTGTTCTCAAAACTCGACGTCGAAGCGAAGGAAAAGGAAGTTCGCCGCCATCAACTATGCCGTAACTGCCTGCGCACGGGTCACCAAGCTCGAGACTGTTCGTCATCCAGTTCCTGCCGAAAGTGTCGAGGTCGTCACCACACACAGCTCTGCTCCGGGATGAATTCTGCCTCTGTAAGCTCCAGGCATCCAAGTCCTCAATCAACAGCTACAGCATCCTCTGCGAAACTCGAACAGCCGAAAGCATCTGTATCCGCTACCGTCACCGCACCTTCAAGCCATGCAAGCACCGGTCAAGCACGAAAGGGCGTGCTTTTGGCTACCGCAGTCGTTAAATTAGTGGACGACAACGGCACTGAACATGTTGCCAGAGCGCTTCTCGATTCCGGTAGTGAATGTTGCTTCATTACCGAATCACTCTCGCAAGTCATCAAATCTCAGCGCACAAAAATATCCGTTCCGATCAGTGGCATTGGGCAATCATCAACGTACGCACGGTACAAGATCGTCGCTTCGATTCAATCAAGGGTTTGTGACTACTCCACCTCTGCTGAGTTCCTTGTTCTGCCCAAAGTCACCATCGATTTGCCCTCTGTTCAAGTAGACACTTCTTCTTGGACCATTCCTCCCGGTGTTCAGCTAGCCGACCCATTGTTCTACGAATTAAATCCAGTGGATATTATCATTGGCGCAGAAGTATTCTTTGAGCTCTTTAAAGTTTCAGGTCGCATTCAGCTTGGCGAATCCCTTCCGACCTTGGTCAACTCAGTCCTTGGCTGGATAGTGTCTGGAAAGACTTCGCACGGCACTCCGAGGTCTCCAATCATCGCCAATGTTGCAACGATCACCGATTTACATAAGCTCATCGAAAAGTTTTGGTCAATCGAAGAAGACGAAAGCACTCCAAACCATTCCGTCGAAGAAGCCGCTTGCGAAGAACACTTTCGACACACCGTGAAGCGCAACTCTGAGGGAAGGTACATTGTTCGCTTACCCGTGAAGGAAAACGTCATCGAACAACTTGGCGACAACCGTTCTACTGCCGTCCGTCGTTTTCGAATGCTGGAAGGTCGACTTGTTCGTAACCCAGGCATAGCACAGCAATACCGTGACTTCATGGACGAATACCTTGCTTTGGGCCACATGAAGCAGGTGTTTGACTACCAGTCGCCTCCATCTCCATGCTATCATATGCCTCACCACGCTGTAGTTAGAGAAGAGAGCACTACTACGAAACTGCGAGTGGTCTTCGACGCATCATGCAAGACTCCGGAGGGACCATCGCTCAACGACGCACTTATGGTAGGCCCAACCGTGCAGCAAGAGATTCGGTCAATCATCATGCGCTCCCGGATCCGTCGAATAATGGTCATCGCTGACGCCAAGCAGATGTACCGACAAGTACTCGTAGACGAACGTGACACTCCGCTTCTACGAATTGTTTGAACGACATCATAGAAGCTACCTCTGGGTACTTATGAGCTGCTAACTGTAACTTATGGCACTGCAAGCGCACCCTTTCTCGCTACTCGTGTCCTCCTGCAACTTGCAGATGACGAACAGGACAGTTTTCCAGAGACAGCCGAAGTCTTACGTAAGGACTTCTACGTGGACGATCTTTACTCGGGCGCAAGCAACGTCGAAGAAGCAACTAAGCTCCGTCAGCAGCTAGAAGCACTCCTGGCCAAAGGCGGGTTTGAACTTCGAAAGTGGACATCTAACGAAGAAGCTGTTCTGGAAGGTATCGCTCCAGAAAATCGAGCACTAAAGACCTCCATTGAACTGGATCATAACCAATCCATCAAGTCGTTAGGTCTTCATTGGGAACCTGCGTCAGATCAGCTGAAGTACCGTATTGAACTGCCAGCTGACACATTTGATGCTTCACTAACTAAGCGAAAAGCATTATCACAAATCGCTCGCCTCTTTGATCCCCTCGGTTTACTAGGTCCAGTCGTTATCTCCGCTAAAATTTTTATGCAAGCCCTCTGGACGTTGAAGGATGACAGCGGAAGAAGCTGGAGCTGGGACGAAGAGCTTCCAATGCCAATGAAGGAACCTTGGCATAATTATACATCGCAATTACCGCTTCTCAATGACCTACGGATCACGCGCTATATCCTCTCAGCAAAACCAGCATTCGTTCAATACCATTTCTTCTCGGACGCTTCTCAGCACGCATACGGCACGTGCTGCTACATCCGATCGGCAGACAATTCTGGATCGTTCAAGGTAGCCCTTCTCACAGCCAAGTCTAAAGTAGCACCACTCCAGCAGCAAAGCATTCCTCGGTTAGAACTATGTGGGGCACTTCTTGCAGCCCAGCTCTATCAAAAGGTCATGAAATCACTCGAACTACCCGGTGCAACATTCTTCTGGGTTGATTCGACGACGGTTCTCAGCTGGCTGAATGCTACGCCGTCAACATGGACCACCTTCGTCGCGAATCGCGTGTCTAAAATTCAGCAAGCTACGCAAAATTGTTCCTGGCATCACGTCGCTGGGCAAGAGAATCCTGCAGATCTCCTATCACGAGGAATTGCAGCAGAAGATATTTTGGACAATCAACTCTGGTGGCACGGGCCGAAATGGCTGCAACTCGCTCAAACGTCTTGGCCGATCAAGCAGCATGAAATCGCACCCAACACCGAAGCACTAGCAGAAGCAGGTAAACAGCGGAAAACTGTATGCACAGCATCCTCTGAACCAACATTCGTCGATCAACTCTCAACAAAGTTCTCCGACTACGACCGTTTGCTCAGAGTAACCGCTTACTGTCGTCGATTCATCCACAATTGTCGCCAAAACGCAGCAAGCAACCATTCAACTTACGTCACATCGGATGAGAAAAAAGCAGCAGAGGCCACTCTTATTCGATTGGTTCAGCAACAAACCTTCATTGAGGAGTGGAAAGATCTCGAGAAATTCATGCACGTTTCAGTGAAGTCCCGCTTGCGCTGGTTTCATCCGTTTGTGTCGGACGATCGGCTTATTCGCATTGGTGGCCGTCTTGTGCAAGCGCCACAGCCTTACGATAGCAAGCACCAGATCATCATTCCAGCTTCTCACCCTCTCTCAAAGCTATTGGTTCGTTCATGCCACGAAAAACACCTACACGCTGCTCCACAACTCATCATTGCCATTTTGCGTCTGCGGTACTGGATCATAGGGGCCAGAAGTCTTGCCAGATTCATTTACCGCAACTGTGTCACTTGCTCTAGGGCACGTCCGCAACTTCTGGAACAGTTCATGGCTGAACTACCGTCGCCACGCGTCACAGCATCTCGACCGTTCTCCGTGACCGGTATTGATTATTGGGGACCCATCTCGCTGCAACCCATACACCGTCGGGCAGCACCCCAAAAGGCCTACGTGGCAGTGTTCGTTTGCTTTTCAACACGCTCCGTACATATTGAGCTGGTCGTCGACTTGAGTACGGCTAAATTTCTTCAAGCACTACGTCGCTTCGTATCTCGCCGAGGTCTGTGCAGCGATATCTACAGTGACAACGGTAGCAACTTTGTCGGAGCTGCCAACGAGCTGCGAAAATTGGTCCGCAGTAAGGAGTATCGTCAGGCCGTCGCACATGAATGCACCAGTACAGGAATCCGTTGGCATTTTAATCCACCAAAGGCTTCACACTTCGGTGGACTTTGGGAAGCTGCGATTCGTTCTGCACAGAAGCATTTTATCCGTGTACTCGGCACTCGAACTCTGGCACATGATGAAATGGAGACGCTATTAGTTCAAATCGAATCTTGCCTGAATTCTCGTCCCATCGTTCCACTCAGCGAAGATCCGTCCGATTTCGAGCCACTGACGCCTGGTCATTTCCTCGTTGGATCAGCGCTCAAGGCTATTCCTGACACCGACGTCACCGAAGTTCCGCTAAACCGTCTGCGACAGTGGGAGCAAACACAGAAGATTTTTCAACTGGTTTGGAAACGATGGCAATCCGAATATTTGGCTACACTTCAATCCCGTTCGAAATGGTGCAGTCCACCGATCACCATCAAGCAAAATCAACTGGTTCTCCTCAAGGATGAAAATTCGGCTCCAATGTCGTGGCCGATGGGCAGAATCGTCGACGTTCATCCGGGTTCTGATGGCATCACACGGGTAGTGACCGTTCAGACACCAACCGGTCGCTTTACTCGTCCCGTAGCAAAAATTTGCATCCTGCCAATTCCACCTACAGAAGATATAACCATCGATCCACCAGCACATTACCAAATCAACACAACAATGAACTCGGCGTCCAAGTGCAACATCAACTATCCAACTTTGAGTCCTTAAACTTCACCGTTTGCAACAATATGCTGGCCCATTCCTCGTTCCTGTTGATAGTAGCCGTCCGGATCACCTAAAATGAAATACAAGGCCCTTTGAATTAAGGGACAAGGTAAGAACCTGTCCAAATTTATAAAATTTACGAAACCCTCTACCGGGTCTTCCTTTGCATGTTTACATTCTACTCCTGCTGATGATCATCGATATCAAGACGAGAAGAGCCGACCGATGACAGCTGCCACACATCTTCAATGGGAACCACAATACGAACGTGAGCAAATCGATTCGACCGAGTATTCGACTATCAGAAATGTGATTTCTGAAGGGGCCAGGATGTTCGCATCACGAAAATAGCATCGTCACGTCACCTAGGTGTGAATATTTGCGGCATGTTAGCACCAACCATCTCGTTCATCGACAATGGCTCCCTTCGGGATTTTGCGATTCAACTCTTCCGGCGAACCAAACAGAAGACGACCTGTTATAAAAGCCGAACCAAGATTGTTTCGATGTAAAAGTGACAACACGACGCCCATCATCATCATTGTCATCAAGTGTACCCGGTAGTGAACCAGTAGAGAAGTCATAAAAATTGAATTTGAATTATTTGTAGTAATTAGAAATAAAGTTAGTAGTTATAATTGAAGTTAGTGAAGTGATAAATAAATGAACTAAGATTATCGTAAGATACTTACTTGTGCTGTGAGCCCCCGCGAAGGCTAAAAAGAGAACAAAAACCTCAAGAAACTTACCTGCCATAGTGCATATGTCCCCGTTGTGCTACTGTGTTGTGGTGAATAAAGATTGAGCACAAAAACGAGTTTGTAAAACTGAGTGATTCGAACACTTGGTATGTCACGAACAACAGAGATACGCTATGGTTCATATAGTTTCAGTGATTGATGGTTAATTTTAAAAATACGAATGGTACTGCCTTCGGTAACTACGACGGCGACAACAGTGAATTTGGAACTTACCATTTGTCTAGGATGTCAATACCTTAAAATGCCTGAACTCCGCTCTGCAAACGCACCCTGCAAGGCCACCTCGTCATGAACTGAAGTCCACCAAATCCTCCGGGAAATTCTCCTCTACCCGATCGTGTTTTAGGTTTGTGAATGCAGGCCTCGGCTCGCTAAAAAACGGCCCTAGAAGGCCCGTCCACAAAATGGAGCTGAGACCCCTCTCAATCGCTGGTCTTGATGTAACACCTTTGCCCGGCACCTCCACTGGATTTTCATGACTGCTATCTGTCACTGTTTGCAAAAATATCTAATAGAAATTACCTTTTTCGCAATAGTTATTTTAACGAAAACAAATTTTCTTACATCGATTTGCGATTACTTAACTTAATGGGACAAACTGACTTGATGTTGCTTACACATTTTTCTTGATCAAAGTCGCACAATATGAAAGTAGATGCCAACTGATAGTGGATAGCGTTGTTATCGCAAAATTGACGAACATCCAAATGGGACTGATATGCGATTATAGGCAGTATAGTAAACGATATATTTTTTTAATTTAAAGAACCTCTTGAATCAGAATACACCTCTGTACCAAAACATCAATATCGAAGACATGTTGCATTAAAACTGACTGTAAGGGGCTTGACCGCTGTAGAATACCCTGCTTTGAATGTTCGGAACAGTAGTTTATACAATCGTGAGCCAGTCTAGCCGACGGCCAGGTTTGCAGGAGTACAATTGATTGGCGAGATGCTGCAATTTTCTTCGATTGTTATAACCGTCCTCATCGTACGCCCGTGGTGCGTCTTGGGTGGCAGACATCTTTCGTCTTCTTTCGTTGGGAAATTCCGAGTTCGCCCCTGTCTGTGCGAATACTGTGGCAAACGATTCACTCACCGGTAACGAAATTGCTCTGATTCGAGCTCGCGAGCGCTGATAAATTATTTCCACTTGGCCAATATTGAATGGCATAACGACCTGACGGAGCGAGCTCGGTTTCCATGGAGAAGCGCCAAAGACCACAGAGAGCTCGGTGAATATTTATGAACACATCTCTCTGTCTCCCCGGCTTTGGTCGCTGTAGAAACATGCCAATCGTCATCGGGAGCAATCGTTTGATGGTAAATTAGTGTATTCAAAATTTAGCTGTCATGGGATCGCTTCACCGGGACGGAATGGGAAAATCAT